TTGATGATAGTGATAATGATGGCCGACACCATAATTATCACTATCATTATAACTATTCTTATTAATAATTACATAAATTATCATTATCATTATTATCATGCTTGTCATCATAACGATTATCATTATCATAACAATTAATATCATCATCACCGCCAGTATTATAATTAATTAAAATCATCATAATTATGATAACAATAATTAATTGACATCAACGTTTTCATTAACATTATTATCGTTAACATCAACATTATTATATACAATATGTATCATCGGTGAAAATGTTACCAAAATAAGAATCACTATCCCATAATTACCTTCATTATCATCTTTATCACTATCATGATCATAGAAACCATTGATCTCATTTTTACTGTCAACAACGCAACAATAGTGGCAATCATCGAGATCGCTATTGGCTTCACTATTAATTTAATCATTGTCTTTATAATTATCATTATCATAATCATCAATATTATTGATTTCATTGTTACTATCTACATCGTAGCAAACATGGTCATCAAGGACAATATTATTATCATCACCATCCATTTTATCATTGTTACCAATATTTTTCATAACAATCATGATTATGAATAATTGTTATAATGATAATTTCTATCATCTATTGTAGGGGAGGGTGAGGTACTAGCCGTCAGGCGGGTGACTTCGTCATCCCGATTTTTTTTATCGATAAGACATATTTTAATGTCAATTCTGTTGGAAATTTATTTCTACGACGTTTACTTAACACGTCTTCAGAAATTAAATAAAAATCTTTATTAACTTCGTAAAATAGGAGATTAAAATTTTGAGCCAGAAATAATCGTCGGACAAGAGTTTTTCTGTACTGACCAAGCAATCGATTTCACTCCTGTATCGATTATATCATATAGGATTAAAATTTTTATTGCATTAATACTTTGTCAAATTTTTTTGGAATTTTAGCATGAATATTTATAAAGTTATTCATAACTAGAAAAAAAGCGTTAAAAGGGGCACAGTTTGCCACCTTCAGGAGGGCACAGTTTGTCACTAGCAGTCACAGCAGTAGCAAAGCGACAGTCATCATCTCAGCTTTATAGGTTAGAATTCTGTTTTGTTGACAATGATGCGGAAGTACAAAAAAAAAGTGAAAGCACACAGCTGGACGGATGGGGACATAGAATTAGCTCTTAAAAGTATTTGCGATGAAAAATCTATTAAAGGTACTGCTCAGGAGTTTGGAATCCCGAGGACGACGCTCCAGTATAAATTTATGAAGCATGAAAATGCAAACACAACAAAACAACAGTCAAGTCAATTTTATGTTTTTATTGTAATTTTTATGTAAGTTGGCGATTTTTCAAATTTTTGAAAGTGATATGTTGATTTACTTGGTACTTTAACAGGCAAAGGCTTTTAGATGATTTTTACTGCAGGGCAAGAAAAAGCTTTTTGTCAATACATCCTAGTAATAAAAATAAATCTTGTTCACAACAAAGTATAAATTTTTTCATTTCAATTCAATTAAAATGTTTTAAATTGAAAAAGCTTCACTATTTTATATGTGCTGCATGTATGGAAAAAATGTATTGATAGAACGTACGTTAATACGAAAAATGTACGTTAGTACCTCTGAATTTCGCCTTTCGTACCACTCCTTGAGAACCTTGACCAAGCACTAGATCAGTAAACTTTATTTCATCAAAGAGTACATTAATGTCAAAAGAAAATCCACCGTCAGCTATTCGCTCTTTAAATTTGATTTCTCGTGGATTGACGAACAAGTATGAATCATCATCACTGGACATCTCATCATTTGTTTCTTTCCTTAATTGCGTTTGGATTGCAACTCCTGACTTTTCAGCTGGTGTGGCAACTGGTATTTCAGGCACCGTCTTGCTCTGATAACTACCCGGAATGGGTAGTACTATATTTTCTTCAATTTTCTTTGATGAGCCAGTGTATTCGAGCAACTGAAATGAAATATGGTAAAAATTACACTCTTAGAGACAAGTAAGAATTTTTACGAATATCTTATTTTACGAACTGCTTTCTTTGTTGTCATCACATCATGTTCTTTCCTTCGTTTTACAGCTTTACTGGGATTCCTGTTTTCAATATCCATATCCGAATTATTAGTTGTTTGGGTTCGGGAATTTTTCTCTGACGCTATGATACAAGTCATAATTATTACACGGATATCACGAATGTGCTATGAAAAAAAAATTATTTTTATACACAGATATTTAATACTTACATGTGTCATGGTTATTTATAGATGAACAGCTTGGTAAATTTAATATTNTGATGATGATGATGATGATGATGATGATGATGATGATGATGATGATGATGATGATGATGATGATGATGATGATGATGATGATGATGATGATGATGATGATGATGATGATGATGATGATGATGATGATGATGATGATGATGATGATGATGATGATGATGATGATGATGATGATGATGATGATGATGATGATGATGATGATGATGATGATGATGATGATGATGATGATGATGATGATGATGATGATGATGATGATGATGATGATGATGATGATGATGATGATGATGATGATGATGATGATGATGATGATGATGATGATGATGATGATGATGATGATGATGATGATGATGATGATAATGATGATCATGATAATGATGAGAATAACGTTAAAGCTGATAGTGATAATAATAATACTAATCGTGGTTATTTTATTATTAATGATAATACAGCTGGTAATAATAATAATACGACAAATATATACCCTATTTTTAAAACTTATGAATCTGATGTTAGTAATTACGTTAGGGACGATTATGTTTTGATGATAATGAAGATGACAATGATAATGACAATAACGATTATAATAAAGTTAATGGTAATAAAAATTATGGTAATCATTTGAATTATCATGATAATAAGTATGATTTAGATGACAACGACGAAGATGATGATGATGGCGACGATGATGATAATAATGATTATGATTATCATGGTAATCATGTGGAATGTACTTCTAATTTTAGTAGCATTATTACCGATGTTGGTGATGATGATTATGACCAAATTCAGGTTAACGATGATGATGTTAAAAAAAGTTAAAGTCAATATCACGATAATAATAATGATTTAGTATATTGACAGTGTTGACAATGATAACTGTTATAATGACGAGGATGATAATGATGTTGATAAAGATTGCTATAATGTTCTTAGTTGTGGATTTAATGAAGACGATGATGAATATGCTAAACATGACAATACTAAAAATCGTTTTTGTATGATTATTATGAAAATAAAGATAGTGATTTTGAGTATGATAATAGCAAAGGTAATTTTTATGGTTATAATGATCTGATAATCATAATAATGACGATAATAATCATGACAGTGATGATGATGATAATTGAATTGATCTTTATAATGATAATAATTATGATAACAATGTAAACAATTATAATAGTAAAAGTATTAATAATAACGTACATAAAGCGAATAATGAATGTGATGATGACAATAATAGTTAAAGTTACGAAGATGACGAAAATAGTCTTAACGATAATAATACGCACAGAATAAGGTTACTTATTAATACCAATAGTGACAATAATAGAGATAATTATGATGATGGCCGATATTGTAATGAACGTTATGATAATAAAAACAATTCTGATGATAGTGCTCACAATAAAGATGATAGCAATAATACAGATGATAACAATGATAATGATAAAGATCACAATACTAATAGTAAAGTTGATGGCGACGATGAAAATAATAATAATTGTAATTATAATGATTATAATAATAATGATCATAATAATGATGATGATAATGATAATGATGATATAAATGATAATGATGACGATAACGATAATCATGATGATGGTGATAGTGATGATGATGATGATAATAATAATGATGTTGATGACGATGATGATGATGATAACTATTATGATGACCATAATGAAAATGAAGAATACGATGACGATAATTATGGTAATAACCTTGATGATAGTGATAATGATGGCCGACACCATAATTATCACTATCATTATAACTATTCTTATTAATAATTACATAAATTATCATTATCATTATTATCATGCTTGTCATCATAACGATTATCATTATCATAACAATTAATATCATCATCACCGCCAGTATTATAATTAATTAAAATCATCATTATTATAATAACAATAATTAATTGACATCAACGTTTTCATTAACATTTTTATCGTTAACATCAACATTATTATATACAATATGTATCATCGGTGTAAATGTTACCAAAATAAGAATCACTATCCCATAATTACCTTCATTATTATCTTTATATTTATCATGATCATAGAAACCATTGATCTCATTTTTACTGTCAACAACGCAACAATAGTGGCAATCATCGAGATCGCTATTGGCTTCACTATTAATTTAATCATTGTCTTTATAATTATCATTATCATAATCATCAATATTATTGATTTCATTGTTACTATCTACATCGTAGCAAACATGGTCATCAAGGCCATCATTATTATCATCTCCATCCATTTTATCATTGTTACCAATATTTTTCATAACAATCATTATTATGAATAATTGTTATAATGATAATTTCTATCATCTATTTTAATATAATTATTATCGTTAGTTCTTATACTATGTTCTTAAGAATACTTGTACCTTTGAAATTGTTTACAATATTATAATTAGTATCACTATTAACATTAATCATCATCATTATCATCATCGTCAACATCATAAATATTAACTTCATTATTATTTTAACCAATTTTATCACAAACATTATTATTATCATCATCGCCATCAACTTTATACTTAGTATTATGACCTTCTTTATCTATATTATTGTTATCATCTTTATTATTACTATCATCTTTGTTATGAGCACTACCACCAGAATTGTTTTCATCATCATAACGATCATTACAATATTGGCCATTATCATAATCATTACTATTATTGTAACTATTGTTATTAATAAGCAACTTTATTTTGTGAGTATCATCATCGTCATGATTATTTTCATTATCTCCGTAACTTTCAATATTACTGTTATCATCACATTCATTATTCACTTCATTAACGTTATTGTTAATACGTTTCCTATTGTAAGTGTTTACATTATTATTATAATTATTATCATTATAAAGATCAATTTGATTTACATCATCATCACAACATCCAGTTTACTATACAGTTGCTCTACCACTTGAGCTACCGAAGAGCTGTGCATTTACTCTTACCGCAAGTATAGATAAGTTCTCGTTCTAAATTCTTAATCTGCCTTTTACGTAAGCTCGATACTGTAGGCATGAGTCTCTAATGCTTGTTGGTATATTAGAATATAATACGTCCAATAGGTATACAATCAAACGTCGATACATTTTAATCATTGTATCCATAGGCGCATATGCATCGATGGCGGTACTCTTCATACAAGCACTCTACATTACCATCCATACATGCCCTTTCTCATTATATATGACATATCAAATCCACGTAATTTTCTTTTTTAAGTAATTTTCCTTTTTAGAAATAATTAAGAACGAGAAAAAGAGTAAATGAACGGCTCCTTGGTAGTTTAAGTAGTAGAGCAACTGTCTAGTAAACAGGGGGTTGTGTGTTCGATCTGTACCCGGGGGGGATTTTGTCTCGTTCTTAATTATTTCTCCAAAAGAAAATTTCTTTATAAATTAACTACGTGAATTTGTATTGCCAAGTATTTTCCATATCTTATATATCGAGAAAGGGCATATATGGATGGTAAAAGAGATTGCTCGTATGAGAAGTATCGCCATCTATGCATATGCGCGTGTTGATACAATGATTTAAAAGTATCGACGTTCGCTTGTATACCTATTAGACGTATTGGATTCATGATGATTATTATTATAATAACTAATTGTACCAAAACTTAATTCTCTGCACCATAATTACTAGCATCTTCATCTTCGTCATTATTTTGATTATAATCATTATTTTTATCATCAATATCATTGATCTCATCATCACTTTCAACATCGTAACAAACATGGCAATCAACGCAACCATTATTATCATTACTATTTTTTTTATTTTATTACTAATATTTACTATAATAATCATCATTATTTATACCATCATTAGTATTATAAATTTAAATCATTAAGATTTTTTTGTATATCACCATTTTAAATACCATTATTATAATTACAACTAGCATAATCATCATAATCATTATCATCAACATTATTATCATCATTATCATTAACATCATAAGCATTTTCATTGATAATTTTATCAAATTTATAAAAACCCTCACTAACAAATTTGCCTTCATCATCATCATCATTATCATCATTATCATCATCATCATCATCATCATCATCATCATCATCATCATCATCATTATTATCATCATCATCATCATCATCATCATCATCATCATCATCATCATCATTATCATCATTATCATTATTAACATAATTACCATAAGCATTAACATGATTATTATTATTATTATTTAAATACTCGATACCTTTACGTACATCTTTTCCATTTAACCATCTTTATCTCCGTTTTTATTGTCATTATTATTATGACCATCGTATTCATCATTTTTTTTAACTACATTGCTATAATCGTTATTGAAAGTATAACCACCGTAATAGTTTTTATTATCATCACTGTTGCACATCATAACGATCGTTACAATCACGGCTAACATCATAATTTTCACAATCATTATCACTATTTTCATTAATAATTACATAAATTATCATTATCATTATTATAATGCTTGTCATCATAACGATTATCATTATCATAACAATTAATATCATCATCACCGCCAGTATTATAATTAATTAAAATCATCATAATTATGATGTTAATAATTAATTGACATCAACGTTTTCATCAACATTATTATCGTTAACATCATCATTATCATATAGATTATGTATCATCGGTAAAAATGTTACCAAAATAAGAATCACTATCCCATAATTACCTTCATTATCATCTTCATCATTATCATAATCATAAAAATCATTGATCTCATTTTCACTTTCAACAACGTCACAATTGTGGCAATCATCGAGATCGCTATTGGCTTCACTATAAATTTAATCATTGTCTTTATGATTATCATTATCATAATCATTAATATTGATCTCATTGTTACTATCTACATCGTAGCAAACATGGTCATCAAGGCCATCATAATTATCATTTCCATCCATTTTATCATTGTTACCAATATTTTTCATAACAATCATTATTATGAATGATTGTTATAATGATAATTTCCATCTTTTTTTTTAATACCATTATTATCGTTAGCATGAACATTTTCATAATTGTCATTATCATCTTTACCATCATCACCGCAACCATTAGCACTATCAACATCATCATAAATATCGTTATCATCATTTTTATCAAAAAAATTAATATCATCTTCATCGCCATCAACTTATCATTATCATTATGACCAATATTATTATTGGTATCCTCACAATCATTACTTGCTTTATTTATGTTCTCAAAAATACTTAAACTTTTAAAATTGTTAACATTATTATAATTAGTATCACTATTAACATTAATCATCTTCATTATAATCATTGTCATCATCATAAATATTATCTTCATTATTATTATAACCATTGTTATCACACACATTATTATCATCATCATCGCCATCAACTTTATACTTAGTATTATGACCTTCTTTATCGATATTATTGTTATCATCTTTATTATTACTATCATCTTTATTATGAGCACTACCACCAGAAATGTTTTCATCATCATAACGATCATAACAATATCGGCCATTATTATAATCATTACTATTATTGTAACTATTGTTATTAATAAGTAACTTTATTTTATGAGTATCATCATCGTCATGATTATTATCATTATCTCCGTAACTGTCACTATTACTGTCATCAGCACATTCATTATTCACTTTATTAACGTTATTATTAATACCTTTTCTATTATAAGTGTTTACATTATTATTATAATTATTATCATTATGAAGATCAATTTGATTAACATCATCATCACAACCTTCAGTTTACTATACAGTCGCTCTACCACTTGAGCTACCGAGGAGCTGTGCATTAACTCTCACCGCAAGTATAGATAAGTTCTCGTTCTCAATTCTTAATCTGCCTTTTACGTAAGCTCGATACTGTAGGCATGTGTCTCTAATGCTTGTTGGTATATTGAAATCTAATACGTCCATTTGGTACACAAGCAAACGTCGATACATTTTAATCATTGTATCCATAGGCGCATATGCATAAATGACGGTACGCTTCATACAACACTCTCTATTACCATCCATACATGCCCTTTCTCAATATATATGACATAGCAAATCCACGTAATTTTTTTTTTTAAGTAATTTTCCTTTGTAGAAATAATTAAGAACGAAAAAAAGAGTAAATGAACCTCTCCTTGGTAGTTCAAGTAGTAGAGCAACTGTC